GTGGCACAAATCTCTCTCTCCCCAAAAAGCCACTGAATTATGGGGTCACCCCCACAGAAGGTCATAGGTGACAGTGTTAAAATGTAAACGTAGTGTCTTGAGTATTTTCAGTGTTTCAGGGAAATCAACAGGGATTGCTTTTAATATGCAAATGCGCAGTCACTGAAGGGAGAGAAAGATAGAGACTGAGAGACAGAGACCTGTCTTCTCTGATTTGGGGGGCAGAGGAGCCTCAGTTCAGCTAGGTGAGCGGGTGATAACCACTGTCAGAGCTGAGAAAACTAATAGGTGTCTTCCGAAGAAAGGAAAGAGAAGGTGTGTGGGGGAGAAGAGGCAGGTGTTGTGAACGCCTGGCATACAGGGCAAAGGAAAAGCAATATCATTAGGGACAACACAATTATAGAAAGGAGGGAGAGGCAGGGGATAATCCCCTAGAAGATATATCACAGGCCAGAGGAAAGAGATAACAATAAACTATTCAATGTGTAGAATGTTTTTATCCATGGCACCAGGTCATGGGAGTATATGCTTTGCACATAATATATACTCAACCAGTCTAGGAAACAAGTTGAGAGAAGAATGATCATTTTAGAACTAGAAAGGACCTCAGAGGTCATCTAATTTACCCCATCCCACTTTAAACAGAAATCAGAGAAGTTAAATGACTTGCCTAAAGTTATACAAGTAGGAAGAGGAAGAACTAAGATTTGAACCCAGGTTTTCTGACTCACAAAACCAGTGTTCTTTCCATTGAACCATTCTGGGGAGTAGAAAAAATAGGGAAGACGGCAGTTCTGATTTTGAATTGTGTCTCTGAACTTTGCTACCAGTGAAACTTTTAGCAAATCACTTAAACTCTTTAGGCTTCAACTTCCTTATCTGCAAAATGAGAGAGTCAGACTAGATGAGCTCTAAGACCCCTTCTCACTCAGTCTTTTATTGAATTAATAGCAAGGAGGGCCTACACATCACAATTAAGGCAAGGCAATAGTAAGAAGCCAGGCTTCCTCAAGCAGAAGTCAGAAGCAGTGTACCTGTGCTTGAGAAATGATCTTACTCTTCCAGTGACTAAAAGAGAGGATAAAGGCCCAACCTGTGGCTAAAGAGTGAAAGAAGGGTGGGGGAGACAGGAAAGAAATATAAGCCCAAGGATGAGGGCTCAGACCAAAGAGAAGCGAAAACAAGAATACCTAGAATGGACAGTTCAATGCTGCAAGCAACAGGTCGAGCTAGGTGAGTAACCAAGACTTTTACATGGATTCATCTCAACTGTATAAGCCTGTTGTAGCTCACAATTTCATCACACCGTGGTGATCTAGCTAGACACTTGATTCATCTTCGTGCTAGAGGGAAGTAGACAGGGCAGAAGAAAGAGTACTATAGAATTTGTCAGAAAGATGGGGGAAGGAATGGATTTAAGGTCATGGTCTTTGTGGAGAGATCTCTCCCCCTCCCATCTTTTCTCCCATAGAAATCAACATGAAAAAGCAAAACCAAAATTCACTTATAAATCAATCAACCAATACTTATTGTCTACTAATCAATCAGTCAAAAAGTCCTTATTAAATGCTTGCTATGCACTAGAGACACAAGAAAAGGCAAAAATCATCTCTGCCCTCAAGAAGCTCATATTCAAATAGGGGAGAAAACATGTAAATAGCTAGGTACAAACAACATACACAGCAGTAGATAGAGTGCCTGGCCTGGAATCAGAAGACTCATCTTCCTGAATTCAAATCCCACCTCAGATACTTCCTAGCTGTATAATCCTGGGCAAGTCACTTTACCCTGTTTACCTCGGTTTCCTCATCTGTAAAATGAGCTGGAGAAGGAAATGGTAAATCACTCCAGCTTATTTGCCAAGAAAACCTAAATGGGTCACGAAGAATGGGACATGATTAAAAAAATGACTGAACAAGAATCTCAAAGGAGAAGGCACTAGTAGCTAGGGGGACTGGGAAAGGTGACATTTGAGAAGGGTCTTGAAGGAGGCCAATAAAAAACTAAGGTGGATGTGAGGGAGTAAAGTATTACAGGCATGGGGTACAGCCAGGGCAAACACAATGAAAGAGTGGACAAGGGATGGCAAGCAGGCTAGGGTAGCCAGACTTTAGCGTGCATGGAGAGGAGTAAAGTGTAAAAAGACTGGAAAGTTAGGAAGAGGTTCACTTATCAAGAGTTTAAATGTAACATGAAGGAGTTTCTACTCCATCCTAAAGGTAGCACAGAAGTTTATTGTGTAGGGCTGTGACATGGGAAGACCTGCACTTTAGGAAAATCATTTAGGCAATTGAGTGGAGGATGGTTCAGAGCGGAGAGAAACTTAAAGGAAGACCAGTTAGAAGGATATTTCAATAGTCCGGGCAAAAGATGATAAGGGCCTGAATAGGAAAGAGGGAGAGTGGCTGTGTGAGTGGAGCGAGATGCTCTGAAGGTAAAAACAAGATTTGGTAACAGATTGGAAATATGGGTAAGGAAAAGTGAAGAGTCAAGGATGACAAGGTTATGAGCTTAGATGACTTGGAGGATGGTAGTATCCTTGACAGAAAATTTCAGAAAAAGGGAGGGTTGGGGTCAAGTTTTTTTGGGGGGGGGAAGGGAAGATAGTGAGCTACTTTTTGGAAATGTTTAGCTTGAGATGCCTAGGGGATATCTAGCTGAAGATGTCCAAAAGGTTGGTGATATAGGACCATTACTGAGGAAAGAGATGAGAGTTGGATATATAGATCAGGAACTTATCTTCATGGAAATGATAATTAAATTCATGGGAGCTGATGTCACCAAATAAGATAATATAAAAGGAAAAGAGAAGAGGATGTAGGAAAGCGCCTTGGAGGGGTGAAGTGGGGGAACAGCTCACAATTAGTGGGCATGATATGTATGAAGATAAAGCAAAGGAAACTGAGAAGGAAAAGTCAGACAGTAGAGAGCATTGTCATGAAAACCCCAAGAAGAGAGTATCCATGAAGAAAAGGCTATCAGAAGTGTCAAAAGTTGCACTATGTTCAAGGCACAATGCTAGGCACTGTGAGAGACACAAAGATGTACAAAACATAGTCCTTGTCCTCAGGGAGGTTACAATCTAGACGTGACAATAGAGTTCTATGCCTCATTTTGTCCCAAGGTAAAATCTGAATCTGTTTTTCTCCTCTTTAAATCCATATTTAAATTATGCCACTTGAGGCTAATGGAAAACTGAGAAATTCTGTTGAGGGAATCCAAACGATTGAATAAACATATCAACTTTTCTACCCTAAAGATCCATGTCAGTCTGTTATAGCAAGTGATAAATGAAAATGAAGATGATATCCCAAAAGAATTTCTTACTGTTATATATGTAATGCTTATGTAATAACCCACATGATTTCTCACAGATCCAAGATACAGAGTTCCCCTGATAGCAAAAACTGAACCACAGTTACAAATACATTTGATGAAGAATTTTAAAAGACCTGGGTTTTAGGCCCAGCTCTACCACTTACTAGTTGTATGACCTTAATTAAATCAGTTAAACCTTCTGAGTTTCACTGTAAAAATGAGTAGGTTGGAATAGATGATTTCTAAGATTTCTTCCAGCTCTATGATTTCAAGTGAAAGTTGCCAAGTGCTTACAAACTGTATCATAAATTTATACCATGGCTCAAGTTAGTTATCAATAAGTATTACAGTTGATACCATCTATACTTCAATTGAAATTAATATTTTGCATCTTATAGTTGCAGATTACTATAGTGTACAAGATTTTTGTTTTAAAAAACTTACTAAAACTATGAAATAATACTCTTCTGCACCATAAACTGTCCCTGAGACTTTATCCTCATTCCTAACTTGAACCTGTATTAATATTCAAATTCCCAAACTCACTTTTAAAAAGATTTCCACCTTTAATAGGTTTTTACGACACTATATGTTCTTTGAAAGTGTAATAAAAGTTGATCAGAATAAGGGACTCCAAGTTTGTTACCAGAAAACTGGTTTTACCGAACTGTCCTGCAACCAAAATTCATTAGACAGTTCTCAGGCCTCCTGCTAAAAGGTGATGTTCCAAATAACACAACTTTTCTATTCATGAAGTAGTCCAAAAGCCAGTCTCCAACAGGTAGTGCACTTTTACAAATAAACTATTCTCTCTCAGCCCAGAAGCCAAAGTAGGCAGATGTTGGCACTTGGTTGTGAAACAGTTTCTTTTTCAAAATCTACCAAGATCAATCTGAAGGTCTTCCTGAGCTCAGACCTGGTAAGGTAAAATTAAAAATATTTGGATTGGGGAGAAACTCAATGCCCTGCTTTTAAATTATGATCTTAATTGTAATATTTATTTTGTGTCTACTCTCACTGTTTACTATCACCATCACCAGCTACTGAGGAAACTTACTGTGCCCCAGTAGGAAGAGAGAAAAGAATCCCAGGAGTTGAATACGAGCCCTAAACTTGGGTATCCATGATCAGTGCCCACAACAAACAGTACAATACTATAACTCCCAACCTGATGACCAATGGCTCAGGCCGATTGGGTTGGGATCTCTAAGATTCAACTGTAGAGATCATTCCTTTGGGCTGAAATAGGAATGAGGGCAGCAGGAGAAAAGGATGGGCCCCTTTGAACCTGATGGTTGTTCCTGGCACCCTACCATCACCACACACACACACACCCCCACCTTGGCTTTTCTCCCAGCCAAAGATGCTTAGCAGAGTCTGGGCTCCACAGTCCTTTCCTGGTTCTTCTGGGCCCATCCTGGGGACGTTTATGATGTTGCCGAGGCTAGTGGGCACAGGGTGACAGGCACTTCAAGCGATGGGCTTGGGGCTCCGCTTACTGTGTGTGTGTGTCGGGGCGGCGGCGGGGGAGGGACAAGGGGAACGGGACAGTACCAGATGCTCCCCACCCACTCCCCCGCCCCAAGGGAAGCGCCCCCTCGGTCGCCTACCCCCAAACTCCCCCAGCAGGGGCGGCTACGGTGGCAGGGGTCTGGAGGCACAGGAGGGGTTAGGTTACTCACCCGAAGGATTGACCGCTGCCGGTGTTGCCATCTTGTCTCCAAGAAGAATTTAGAGCAATTGCAAGGAGCTAGGGGAGGGGAGGGGGCGGGCCAGGGTGGGGAGGAAGGCGGAGGAGGAGCAGACTGGATGCCCCGAGCGTAAAGGGACTGAGGCCAGAGGCGCTGCAGACTAGTACCTACACAAAGGGACAGGGAGGGAGGCCAGAGAGCAGCGCAGCGCGCAAGCTAGGGCTCCCCACACCCACCAGCCTGCCTCCCTCGCCCTCTCCCCTTCAGCGCTGCGCTCCGCCCAGGCCCAGCTCTAAGGCTGCTGCTGCTGCTACTGCTGCTCTTCTCTCCTCTTCCTTCTCTTCCTCCTCCTCCTCTCCCCCCACCCCCTCTAGTTCAGCCTTTTGTCGAGGAGAAGCAGGAAAGCAGTCTCAGATCCCCGCGTAAAAATGCCAGCCTCTCCAAGATGTCTGAGCCGTAACACCGCGAGACTTGGGGCTGCATGCATTAAGACCCCCAAAGTTTGGGACCGCTTAGTCAAACTGCCCCTGAGAAGGTTGTCCTGGAGGCAGGGGATGGAGAGCCAGGGTCCGCCTCTCCCCCTGCTAGAGCGCGCTGCTGCCACCGGTGGTCCAGTGGCGAAGAAGGGGCGCAAGAGAGTGAAGAAGGCAAGGCAGAACAAGGGGGATTGAGGGGTAGGTAGGGAGAGGTTTCAGGTAGAAAGGTCACATAGAAACAAAGAGGGAGTTGCCTGGTGCCTAGCGTAAATGACCTAAACCCATCAGTCCTCGGTGAACTGTGGGCCTAGGAGGATTAGCAACACCCCCCTCGGCATGTTGCATGATACGACCACAAAACCACTCCATGTGTGGTGCCCAGCAGCTGTACAAGATCTACCAGTATTTCAATTTTGAGATGCCTCTGGTATCTTTCTTTTCCCCAGAAGGGGTATTTCTGATGGCGACAACTTAGTAGGACTCCACAGTGTCTCTCGGCATGGGTTAAAAAAAAAATGTTTTTTTAAAAAAAGGCATTAGGATTCAAAAGGAGAGACAGTCCTTAGAATCCTGATGATGGGGAGAGACAGAATTGAAACAATGGCATCACAGTCCTAGCCCAATTAGCATGCTGCAAGCTTCTGATAAAGTTCACATCAGAACACATTCAGTACCAGAAAACAGGCTTTAAAATGACATCATGGCTCTGATTTAAGGCTACCCAACACTTTGCACAACCAGAAGACAAAGTTAATACCTAGGGACTATATTAACAGTAGACATACTGTTTCTCCCTCTTCCCACAACATCCCCCCCCACACATACACACACACACTCTTAAATCAGTGAATTTCAAGGTTGGAAAAGAGTCAGACATCATGCAGTAGTTATTTTACTGTTCAAACTGGTGAGTGCAGTAAAATTCTAAAATGTTAATTCTGAATTACCTGACTTTTAGAAGTACAAAATCATTGCAATTGCCACATTTATACCAAGAAGCTAAGACATGATGAAATGTACCAATATTCTTAAAAGTACAAATAAATATAGTCATGGACAGGGCTTTAGAAGACTTAAGCAGTCATTCTAGCTCTGTCAATAACTAGGCATGCAGCACTGGGCAAGTCATTTTACTTTTCCAGTCCTCCTTTTCCCCATTTATCCAATGAGAGAGCTGGACTAAATAATTCCCTTGCTTTCGAAAATCCTGTGATTCTGGATCTCGATTGCTGGAAAGAATTTCAATGGGTTTGTCAGGGAGTTTGACTGATCATGTGTAAAAGAAGCCTACATAACTGCCTAAGGGATATGTAAATAGCATCAATCTATAGAATTCTTGCCAAATATATATGTGTGTGTATATACGTATATATATGTAAACACCACCACCGCTCCCAAAGAAAAATATATTTGAGACAGAAAAGCGTGTTTCTGCATGTAATCATACTATCACTTGCTGTTACTTTCTGAAATAAGCAATTTCCTTCAAAATGCATTTGTCATTATTGACCAGGGCAATAGACAGCATTCAAACTCATTTATTCAACACAAATACTTAGTACCCGCTATATACTTAGCACTGTGGTCTATGTTGTGAGAGACAAGAAAAAAATAGTATATAACACATAGTCTCTGCTTTCAAGGAGTTTATAGTCTAGTTGGAAGGGAGAAAAAAAACATGTAGTTCTTAAATAAAATATCTATACTTGGTAATACAGGCATATATTACCTAAAGCTATGAATCATTGTTTCTACAAAAATATAATGAGATGAAACAATGTTTCAGGGGGCAGTTAGTTCCAGAAGAAAAATGTTATGGGTGGAACAGTTAAGTACGCTGACACTTGGGGGGAGTTAATGCTTCTTTGGATATTGATCACTAGTATATAGATAAAGGCAATCATCATTGGTATATCCAGTGATAAGCTGAATATTGTTACAATGGCATTTGGTTATAATGCATTAATGATTTTCTTAAATGGCATCAAACTAAGGCAATATAATGACAACTGAATGGTACAGACAAGTACTAGCAACTCAGAGAAGAGAGAATTTCCGTGGGTAGAAGTAGTTAGAAGAGGCTTTATGGAAGGGGTGGGATTTGAACTGGACTTTGAAGGATGAATAGGATTTGGAAAAGAGACAAGGGCACAGCAAAAGCAAAGACAATAAATAAGGCACGTTCATTAAAAAGACCATGATTAGACAACGAGAGCATAAGATTGAAGATAATGTAAACTAAGTAGTTTATAGACCTTGCTGATAAACATTTTGTGTTTCCCTGTATATACTTATATAGTAAGGTTGAATTAGCCTACAGAGACCATTCCATGGAGCTCACTAAAAAATCCCATTCCTTGTTTCCATCCACCTTGTAGGGGCTTTGGGGCCACCTTCTGGGGCCTCAAAGCTAAAGTTCTTATATACTAAAATGATAAACAGTTCTTTTATTGACTGTGGAATTGAAAGAAATGACCATTCATTTAGTTTTCTTTATAGCTACAAATAGTGTCAGAAGTATTTGGAGTTATTTCTCAAGTGGGGTGGAGAAAAAGAGTAATTTGTGCTTCATATCCCGTCTCCCCACAACCTTCTCCCCTATCCTCAACTCTGAAACTATCCTATCCTCCTTGATTCTTGTGCACATGGCGACTTAAGCACATGTCCCACTTAGGCAAGCTTGTGCCTGAGTTTGGACCACTACTTTTGTGTTTGCTCTTTCCTAATCTTAGGAGGATGAGTTCTTATCCCAAAGTAAACATGTCTAGGTTTGGAAGTAACCTCTTGAATTTGAGAGATCCAGCAGTCCCGTCAGGTCAGAGCTATTTTGAAAATTTCAGTCACTGACAGAAAGACTGGCCCAAGTCTGGCCATTTTACCAGCAGAAATGTACCGGGATTTGTTTAGTCAATGAAAAGCCAAAGTGAAATGTAAAATGCTTAATTAGGAATTCTTCAAATTGCTTTATGTTTGGTTAGGTAAAAGTATGAACCTCTTAACAGATATAATAATAATGTTATTGAATCCTGCTTTACATTTGTTTTTTGTTCAAATGTATGCTTATATGTCCTGTATGTCACATTCCCTTTGTATGTAGGAACAAATTACTTGTCCAAACCTGATTCATATTGCATATTGGGTTCCCTTTGATTCCCATCTTTATTGAGGAAATCCTAGATGTTAATGGTAACTGAGCAATAAGTAAAATTGTCCCCAGAGCAGCAGGATGAGACTTCGACAAGTTAAAGAGCATGAAAACGGGGAGCCCAACCTCTTTATTTAGAGAACAATCTTCCCAGGACTTAACCTAGTACAAACCTTACACCTTGGTACAGGGCAGGGAATGGATATGGTACCCAGCTCTGATGGGCCCAGCAGGAGTTCATCAAAAGTAGACTTACAAAGTACTTCTCAATATGCAGCCTCTGTTATATTGTTTTGAAATGTTGTATGTTTCAAAAAACAGACATTACAAACAAACCTTTTTTATAGTCAGTTTAAAGACCCATGGGGGACATTTACTCTTTTTAAGCCTCTGTCTCCCCATCTATAAAATAAGAGGGATGGAATTAGACTCTAACATTCTATGATTTGTTATTCAGAAGAAGCACAATCCCTACTAGAGGTAAGGATCATTTTCTTTTCCATATTTTGCATGTGATCATCCCACTATGACACTCAGTAAATAATCAATAATTTTTTTTAAAAACTGTTTAAAGACTTTCTAGGCAACCTTCCACAAATGATTTTTATAGAAGACCATATAATCATGGCCATATAATTAACTGAAAGGTTTTGAAAATACAAAATCTTGCAGTGTTCACTGTTTATTGATTATTTTTAAGCACTCATCTTAGAGAGTTCAACTGTCTTCCATAAAAACATTAAAACCATACACTCATCTTAGAGAGTTCAACTGTCTTCCATAAAAACATTAAAACCATACGAGATTCCTTGACAAGTACAACCACAGAGGGAACTTTACTCAATAATCTTCTGATTATCATTCAGCTGATGAAAAAAACAACTGAGGTTTAGAGAGACTGTGACTTTCCTAAGGTTATACCTTTAGTTAGTAGTAAGAACTAAGACTTTTAGATCTCCTGATTTTTTCAGTCTGGTGCTCATTTCACATACTGTCTAGATTTTTTTTCCCAAGGTCAAGAAGTGGGGAGAGCGTGGGGAGGGGGGTTGGGAAATTGTCCAGGAGTACAAGATTTAGGTGATATCTTTCCCTTTCTGTGTTAGTCACCAAATATGCATGCTTATAAAACCCTACTCTAAAGTAAACAATTTGAAATGGATAAGTTAGTCATTGTTAAATGTAAGGTGGCATTTATACAATACATTGGTCTATTGCTAATTATAGGAATAAATAGACTGTGACCAGTTAACAGGCTCAGGAATTCCACTCAATCTTTAAATAACCTGGAACTCTTAAATTATAAAGTAGGCTTAACAGACTCTGAAGCTGGGATTTCCATTTTTTTTTTTTTAAGAGTCTCGGTGAGCTCATAACAGAGAACACTTTGCTGAG